AAAGAAAGAGAGAGAGAGAAAGAGAGAGAGAGAAAGAGAAAGAGAGAGAGAAAGAAGGAAGGAAGGAAGGAAAGAAAAAAATGTTAATACAGTATTTTTCTGATAAGGACATAAAGTTACCTATATTCACACAGAACACTCACTTTGTGACTTTAAGAAACATTTCTTGGTGGTGGAGGTGGGATTCAAAAGAATAAAAACAGCAACAAAAACAAATTCTTATATTTTTATTTTTTTGAGACAAAGTCTTTCCCTGTCGTCCAGACTGGAGTACAATGGTGCAATCTAGGCTCACTGCAACCTCCACCTCCTGGGTTGAAACGATTCTCTGATCTCAGCCTCCTGAGGAGGTGAGGTTACAGGTACACACCACCATGCCCGGCTAATTTTTCTATTTTTATTAGAGATGGTGTTTTGTCATGTTGGCCTGCCTGGTCTCGAAAACCTGACCCGAAGTCATGCACCAGCCTTGGCCTCTGAAAGCGCTGGGATTACAGGCTTGAGCCAGTGCACCTGGCCAAGTTATGCACATTTAAAGTTTCATTACTATGCTATAACTTTGAGAAGTTTAACATACCTGCAACAATGACTTCCGCCTCAAATATCTACACAACACACTTCAGTTCTTCATATGGAAAGGAATCCACACTAACATGGTTGCTATGTTCACATTGTAATCACGGTCAAACCACTTATATGTTTAGTGAAAACTAAATAACAAAAACTACATAAAGTACTAACAATGGCTGCTCAGGGCAGCTCGCAACTGTAAGGCCAGCACTCTGGAAAGCCGAGGAAGGTAAACCACTTGAGATCAGGAGGTAAAAGTCCAGCCTGGACAACATGGTGAAACCCCATCCCTATTAAAAACACAAAAATTAGTTGGGCATGGTGGTGAGCACCTGGAGTCCCGGCTATTCAGGATGCTGGAGCAAAAAATCGTTTCAGCCGGGAGGCAGAGGATGCGGTCAGCCAAGATTGTACCACTGCACTGTAGCCTGGGCGACAGAGTGAGACTCGGTCATAAAAGAAAAAGTCAATGAAAAGAAAGTTAAAGAGTATCTACACAAAAAAGCAATTAAACACAAAAAGTAGTTAATGAGAAATGAAGAACAAAAAAAAAAAACCTACAAGAATTAAACAGTAAGGTCTACTCCATCAGGCATATATCAAATATAAATATTACACAGCACTCGGAAGGCAAAGACTGGCTGAATCAACGGGAACTAACTACATGTTGTCCACAGAAGACTCATATTAGCCCTAAGGACACACATAGGCTACAGTTTAAAAAATAACAACCAATAATTAGGTATGGGGGTTGGGGCCTGTAATCCCAGCAACTCAGGATGCTGAGGAGGATCTCTTGAGCCCAGTAGACCAAGACCAACTTCAACAATACACCAGACACTGTCTCTAAAACAAAATATTAGCCTATCATCGGGCACTGTGGTTCACACCTGTAATTACAGCACTTTGGGAGGCCAAGGCAGGTGAATCATTACTTCAGGAGTTCAAGGCCAGCCTGGCCAAGATGGTCAATCTCTCTCTCTCTCTCTCTCTCTATATATATATATAAATAAGCTCATCATGGTGGCATGCACCTGTACCAACTACCAGGGGAGGCTGAGGTGGGAGAATCATTAGGCACAGGAATTCAAGATTTCTTCCAGTGAGCCTTGATCACACCACTGTACTCCACCCTGGGTGACAGAGCAAGACACTGTATCTAAAAATAAAATTTTAATACAAAATAACACAAAAGATAAAAAAAAAGATATTCCAGGCAAATGTCACCCAAAGAGAGCAGAGGTGGCTATACTAAAATATGTTTTAACTCAATAATATTTTATTGGCTGGGTGTAGTGGCTCATGCCTGTAATCCCAGCTCTTTGGGAGGCTGAGACAGGTGGATCACAAGGTCAAGTGATAGAGGCCATCCTGGCCAACTTGCTGAAACCCCGTCTCTACTAAAAATACAAAACTTAGCCGGGCATGGTAGGAGGTGCCTGTAATCCTAGCTACTTGCGAGACTTAGGCAGGAGAATGGCTTGAACCCAGGTGACGGAAATTGCAGTGAGCCGAGATCCCGCCACTGCACTGCAGCCTGGGGAACAGAGTGAGACTCAGTCTCAAAAAAACCAAAAAACAAAAAAGCAAAAAAAACAAAAAATATTTATTGGAGACCAGGAAGGACATTATACCATGATAAGAGAGTTAATTCACCTAGACTATACAACTAGAAATATATATATGCATGAATATCAGAGCTCCATATATAATGCCAATATTTAAAGAACTCCATTTAATGCTAGATTTCAACATCCCACCTTCAATAATGGATAAAACCACAGGACAGCTGGGCTGGGTGCAGTGGCTCATGCCTGTAATCTCAGCACTTTGGGAGGCCATGGCAGGTGGATCACCTGAGGTCAGGACTTCGAGACCAGCCTGACCAATATGGAGAAACCCCGTCTCTACTAATAACACAAAATTAGCCGGGCATGGTAGCACATGCCTGTAATTCAAGCTACTTGGGAGGCTGAGGCAGGAGAATCGTTTCAAC